TAGCTACTTTCTAGGTTAAAATTTTAAACTCACATTTTTGAGTATATCATAACTAATTATTAATTTATAAAATATTTTTAGATACCCTCACGTAGCTATTTACAAAACTTGAGTTTAGATGGAGTACAGAATGCGACATTGGCGTAAAGAAACACAACCACCTCGACCAGGTGTATGTAATAATGTGTAATTAATGTAATAAATAGAGTTAAAAAATAAATATTCTAAATAAAATGAAACTGAAATAGTTACAATATTACCTTTAACAATTTATTTTGAACGACGATTATTACAAATTTAAAACAATTTCATAAAAAAAGATTTTTTGTAAACAATGTGATTTGTTTGAATTTATTGTTAGTATTTCTACGTTGGTATTTCACTTATCTTACAAAAACTACTTTATCGACAGCAGGAATATAGATGGCGCTAGAATCAATATAAGTGGATAAAATGAACCTTTGCATTATAAAATAATATAAATCAACAGGCAATTTATTGTATAATTTTTTTCTATCGATATACTGAAATGCAAATAGAATTATGTTGCAATTTTTGTATGAAAAAAACCTTTGTCTTTTTTTACTCGTTGTTGATTGCAGAGTGATCTAAAAAGATGATTTTAAAATTTAAATTTTATATATTGAATATAGGGAATTTAATTTTAGTACTAGATTTATGATTGACATTCTTCGCATCCGAGGTTGAGTATGGCGCCCGAAAAATGAGAATAGTTGTGTGAATTATAGTTCATTTTAGTTATTTTGTAATAATTATTATATATAATGTCTTCTTTTTATTTTTAATTGAGATTTATTCATTTTTGAGATTACAAAACATTTTGTAAATGTCTTAGAAAATGAGGATTTTTTTATCAATTTGTTTAATCTGAGTATTAAGTACACATAGCCAATAATAAAGTGAACGAGAAATTCTCTGACAATTAAGGTACACAAATAGTTCTTGAACTGTAAAATATCCTTATAGCTTAGAAACAATTACCCCTGATCTGCTATCAATTTCAGTTTACCTACACATTGAAAAGAAAAGCAACTATAACCAGAATTTTGTAATGTTACATCTGTAGAATATGCCGTCAATACAAAGAACGTATGTAACATCGATGTGGCGATGTTACATTGCAAAAACATTGCGCGTATGCAACAAATGTTACCTAAAATTAGTAAAAATATGTTATGTAACATTTAAATAACAGTTGCATAATAAATGTAATGTAACATAGAGATTACAGTATTATATCATAGAAGCATAACATTAAATAACAAAAAATATATACTATAGTGTTATATAACATGGATACAACATGCATGTAACGCTAATTATATTGCCATTAGATAACTACATTATATAGCTACAATATCACATGGGTGTGACATCTGCAATGTGAACTTGTTACTTTAACAAATATTACAGTTACATAACATATATGTAACTTTTCGTTATATAACTTGTTACATATTGTTACCTTTGTGTTACATTGCTGTTATATTCAGTGTTTACTGAGTGACTATATTTGCTATAATAGTAGTTTTATTAGAACATTTTTTTTAGTTAAAAAAAATATAATTTATTCAATAGAGAATTTAATTCTCTACAATTGAGTGGCTATAAAAACGGTTACTTAATCTGAGTCCGATTTCCGTCACATACGGGGGTTTAAAAACTTAGAAAAAGTTCCAATAGCATAAGTGCAGATCTTTTATCTTCTTTATCTTCTTTAACCAAAAAAAAAATGTTTTTATAAGAGTTTTATCATAATTGGTATAGCCACTCATTAGCAGAGGATTGAATCCTCTTTGCTCTCATTAATTAATTGAATTTGGTTTTTTTTTTTGTCATAAACAATTAAAAAAAAATATAGTTTATTTGATAGAAAATTTAATTTACCACAAATGAGTGGCTATAAAAACGATTACTCAATCTGAGTCCGATTTTCCTCACATTTGGGGGATTAAGAACTTCGAAAAAGTTTTTTCGTCTTGAAGAGAAACTATTTTCATCATTTTTATGTTTTTCACAATTTTGCTTTAAGCCTCATATCATACGATCTCTCGGCTGCGGAAATTTCTTACTCTGTTTTTCTCCGTTCCCTACTACCAGAAAAACAATCAAAGCTCCGCCCTTCATCTTTAGTCCTCCTATAAGGACTAGACTTCTATACTGGTCTCTCTTCTCTGCCGAAGTTGACTTTATGCCGTCGCCTTGAGCGGTACAAGGCCGAAGTTTGATATCAATTGAAATTGAGTAGGTAACAAGGAAGTCGTTTGAAAAATGATAATTTACCGGGATGCACTACGGAAAGGGAACCGGAGGGCACAAAAAAATTTTAAAATTCTTAAATGATCTGTTCTGAGAAAAACAAAGCACAAGGTATATGCATCCATCTCTGTCTTGCTTGTCAGAAAGAAGACTGTGAGTTAAAGCAGTTGGCGAGCAAGTTCAGCTTCCATCTTTACTTCTGTTTCCAAGCCTGAAGCTTATGATACATAAATGTAAACAATATAAATAAATGTAAACTAGTCCAGTCCAATGAGGGAAATGGGATAATTTTCACTTGCGAAGGTCAAACTATAGATTCATACATCACTGGATCGGAAATTTTGCGAGGAACACGATGGTGTAAGTTGAAAATCTTTGGCGTCATGGGTAATAAATCGCGAAAACCCCTCCCAATCGCAAATTTCTCGATTGGTGAAGAAAGTTGTTAAGAATTAAATTTTAGTACAAAAAGTACTATGAGATATTAAAGTTAATTCTCAGAGAAAAAATCTTTTATCATTAATTTTTTCATAATTTTTATGAATAATTAATTGTCTGGATTTTGTTTAATTGCTGATTTTGCACGCTTTAAGTCAAAAACCGGGCTGATTAGTGCATTTTTACGGAAATTAGAGCGATTGAAATAATTAATTATTTATCTTATATGAATGTTTATCTTGTCAAATAATATCCATTTATTTCATTACATGTTTGTAAAATTCAAGTAATTTTCCAACACAGATAAGATATGTAAAAAAAAATTTTTACAGTAGAAAATTTCACCGAAAATGTCTTTAGAAAATATCCCTAAAATCTGTTAAAATGTAAACAGAAATATTGAGGTAAAATTTACTCGAAAATCGACAGTAAAGTAGCTTTACCAAACTGCTCGGTAAATTTTACCCAAACATTGTGGCTAATTTTTTAAGAAAAATTTTTTCAGTACATTTGACTGGACTAAACAGAGCGCTCGGCTTTCATTTTGTTGTACGGTGTTCGATTTCAATTATGGAAAAATTTTTTTCTATTTGAATTGCATGTAATTGCAATTTTATCATGCCAAAATTAGTTTTAAATGTTAATTTCAATTTTTATGTAAAACCATCTTTTAATTAATCAATAAAAAAATTTGAACAGAGTCATAAACCTTTTTTTGTACAGATACATAGTTGATAACGTTTTTTTAACAACTTATTAACAATAAAAAATAGTTCAAACAATCCGCGGCGAGTTTTGGCAAGCTTTATTCCCATTCTTCATGCCCAAGCCTGCAGCTTATAGTTGACAAGCATGAATTAATTTATTTTTCATTTTTTCATTAATTTTTCATTAATAGATTTTAAACACGATAGCTCTGCGGCTAGAGCACTGGACTTCTCTTTTGCCGAGTAGGGTTCGATCCCAGTTACAGCCCATTTTTTTTTTCTTTTTCATGTCGTAAAATTGCACATAATTATAATAATTACCTATTTATATTAGTTTAAAATTGTTTTTTAAAGTTTTATACAATCTACACTTTTTAATCAAGAGAATTTGTGGTAATTACAAATGTAGTTTTTAGAGCTAGCATACGTTTATTTAAAAAGTCCATGTTTATTAATTATAACCTGCAGACTTGGGTACGGAGAGTGGGGATAGAGCTTGCCAGCGAAGCGCCGGAATTCACCGCAGATGGTTTTGACTATTTTTTATTGTTTATAATTAATAATTGTTTGAAAAAAAATTCTACAACTAATGTAGCTATATAAAGATAAGTTTTTCTATCCTTTTTAAATGTTTTATTACTCTTTCGTTCTGAATTGGAAGAGTAATAAAATTAAAAACAAAGTAAATATCATTCATTATTTATTAAATATATACAAATTGCAATAATATGCAATTTGGAGAAAGAAAAGGAAGAAAAAAAATTTTGCCATGACTGGGATCACACCCTGCCCGGCAAAATATAAGTCTGGCGCTTTGCCCACAGAGCTAACACGTTTATATTTGATTAATTTATGTTTATAAATCATTAGTTGCAGGCTTGGGCACGGAGGGTGGAGATGTAGCTTACCGACACAGCGCCGCAACTCGTCGCGGATCGTTTGAACTGTTTTTTGTTGTTCATTATTAAAAATTTTTTTTTTTTTCAATTCTACAACTAATATAGCTGTACAGAAATAAGTTTTTCTATACTATTTAAATTTTTTATTACTCTCCTGTTACTTATTAGAAGAATAATCATGAAAAAAATTAAAATTAATTTTAACTGGATAGAATTGCAATTAGATGGAATTTTAACACAAAAGAAGAAGAAAAGATTTTGCCGTAACTGGGATCGAACCCTGCTTGACAAATTAAAAGTCTAGTGTTCTAATCACAGAGCTAATACACGAACATTTAGGATGTGTACATTTTTGAATCATAAGCTACTCGCTTGGGTACGGAGAGAAGGATTTGAGCTCGTTTGCGAGCTTCCCAAACTCGCAGTCTTCTCTCTGACAAATAAGACAGAGATGGATGCATATACCTTGTGCTCTGTTTTTCTCAGAACAGATCATTTAAGAATTTTAAAATTTTTTCGTGCCCTAAGGTTCCCTTTTTGTAGTGCATCCCGGTAAATTATCATTTTTCAAACGACTTCCTTGTTACCTACTCAATTTCGATTGATATCGAGCTTCAGATTTCCACCGCACAACGCGAGGGCGTAAAGTCAACTTTAGAAAATTTTCTGACTTCAGCCCAGCCTTAATTGTTAGTTTTGTTTAAGTAAATGTTTAAATCACTTTGATTAATTAAAAAAAAAAACATTTAAAGATTACTATGATAGCTTATGCGTTAAAAAAACAAAAAAATTGTCTATCTTTCTAAGAACCGCTAATTATTGATAGACATTTGAACTATACAAAACTTAATCAATTTTTGTTTTTATATAACATTGTGTTGTTTCGCCATCTTATTTAAATAAATTATTGATAAGTCTGAAAAATACTTTATTTAAAAAAAACTTTTGAGTTAGAAAATAAAGCATCAACAATGCCATGTGAAATGATAACTCTTCAACTTGGCCAGTGTGGCAATCAAAGTATTTATTGTTTATTTTTATATTAGTCAATAGATGAATAAAAGTTTTATACAATTGATAATAATTATTGTATACAAATTTTTTAAGTTGGATTTGAATTTTGGAAGAGACTTTGCGCTGAACATGGAATAAGTCCTGAAGGTATTTTAGAAGATTTTGCTACTGAAGGTACAGATAGAAAAGATGTTTTTTTTTATCAATCAGATGATGAACATTATATACCAAGAGCTGTGCTTCTTGATTTAGAGCCTCGAGTTATTCATACTATAATGAACTCACCTTATTCTAAAGTAATCATAAAAATTTCTATTGTAGTAGTATGCAGTAATTATTTTATGCATTTTTTTATATTAACCTACGAATATTTTCAGCTTTATAATCCAGAAAATATTTATTTATCAAAACATGGTGGTGGAGCAGGAAACAATTGGGCATCGGGTTATCATCAAGGTGAAAAACTACAAGAAGAAATTTTTGATATTGTAGATCGAGAAGCAGATGGAAGTGATAGTTTAGAGGTATTTTAAATAATCAATTAATTGAGTTTTAAAAACTTTAACTAATTAATGTACTCCATTCAAATTACTTACAAAAATATTCCTATTTTAAAATGAAATTCAGGGATTCGTATTGTGCCATTCAATAGCTGGAGGTACCGGTTCTGGGATGGGATCATTTATGCTAGAATCTTTAGCAGATAGATTTCCTAAGAAGTTGATCGAAACATACAGTGTATTTCCGAATCAGGATGAAATAAGGTAATTTTTTTATTCTATAAAATGTATGTGTGTATTACATTGTATTACATGCAAAAAAAAATTTTTTTCAGTGACGTTGTTGTGCAGCCTTATAATTCTCTTTTAACCCTCAAAAGACTAACGCAATGTGCAGACTGTGTTGTGGTACTAGATAATACAGCTCTGAATAGAATTGCAACGGATCGACTTCACATTCAAAATCCAAGTTTCACGCAAATTAATAAACTTGTGTCTACAATTATGTCTGTCAGCACAACAACACTAAGATATCCTTCATATATGAATAATGATTTAGTAGGATTAATCGCTCCATTAATTCCAACTCCAAGACTTCATTTTTTGATGACAGGGTATACACCTCTAACGACAGATCAAGAAGGACAATCTGTTCGAAAAACCTCTGTTCTTGATGTCATGCGACGTCTTCTTCAACCGAAAAACATGATGGTATCAACAGCACTTGATAGAAATGCTTCCCACTGTTACATATCAATATTGAACATAATTCAAGGAGAAGTAGATCCAACTCAAGTTCATAAATCACTCCAGAGAATCAGAGAACGCAAACTAGCTCAGTTTATACCTTGGGGGCCAGCGAGCATCCAAGTCGCTCTATCGCGAAAATCTCCATATATTCAAAGTGCACATAGAGTTTCAGGGTTGATGCTTGCTAATCATACAAATATATCTTCATTATTTGATCGTGCTTTACAACAATATGATAAACTGCGAAAGCGTGAAGCTTTCCTTGAGCAGTTTAAAAAAGAAAAAATGTTTGAAGACAACTTAGATGAGCTTGATAATTCTAGAGAAGTTGTAGAATGTCTTGTGAAAGAATATCAAGCTGCTACGAGATCTGACTACCTTACTTGGAATCCTAATAGAGTTGAATAAAAGTATGTGCCATGAACATTGAATATTTGATCTGATATTAAGAATTTTTGAACATTACCAAGTTTAACCATTTTTAGCTTCAAAAGCATAGTGCCATATTAAATTGTTAATTGTGCACATTACCTATGCATTAAGATTTTTGTATGATACTCGTGGTTAAAATTTGAATAATTCCAACTGATTTTGTCTATTATGTTCTTTAATTACAAGAAATAAAGCATTAATTTTTCATACAAATGTTAAAAAAATTGTCATCAAAAATTCAAATAATTTTAAAACTATCCATCAGGTATTTTTGGGAATGATTCGTGCAAATAATGGTGGTAGAGTTGCAACAGTTAAATATCCTGTATGTCCTGGTAATGTCGAAGAGTGATTCACAGTTAAAATTCTATCTTCATCTGTAGTTTTCTTTTTTATCACTTCGTCAGATGTGTGCTACAAAAAAAATATAACCAATTTTGAGAAATGAATTTACTTTTTGTCAACATTTATTCATTCAAAAGACAAGATAAATCATCTACAAACCTGTTTTTTTAAACACTCAAGATCAAGTTTGGGTATGCTTTTAAATACTACAGTTAATTCTTTCTGAAGAAGTTCATAAACATTGATATCAACAAATCCAGTGGCTTCTAATTTAAGACAAGTTTGTTGAACTTGTTCAATACAAGGCGAGAAAGAACATAATTTACCGCCAGAAGTTTTAAGAGTATTTACTGCATGATCAATCGTTAACCAAGGAAGAGGTAAGTCAAGTAATATAGCATCAGCTTTAAGTTTTAAATTATCTCCAAATCCTTCCCGACAAACATCACGATCGGCAACTGTAACAAATTTTTCCAAGCCATGTTTTGAAAATTCTTCAGTTGCTAGTTCTACTCTTTGTTTATGAAAATCAAATGTATATAAATGACCATGTGGTTTAATTGTTCTGATTAGGAAATGAGATAGGCAACCACTTCCAGTTCCTGTAATAAAATAGATAAAATAAATAATTTAAATGAATAAAAATTAAAATTATAATATACCTGTTTCAACAACTACACTCCCTGGAATGAGATTTAATAAATGAACAATTAAACTACAATCGGCCGTATAAATGATTTGAGTCCTGTGAGGAAGAGTTTCAGTCCAAAGTTCTGGTGTTGGTTGTAATATGTATCCCCAACCACGGGATAATTCTACTCTTGATCCATATTTTTTTCCAATCAATGAAGCAATTTTTAAAGCACCGTGTGTCGTTTGAAATACATTTTCCACAAGTTCACCTTTTTTATTCATAATTTTAGGAGTAATCTCAAATGAATGCATTTTTTGTGGTCCAAAATATAAAACTGCAACGTCTTTTTCTTCAATAGTCGATTTAGTCTGATAAAAACTCATTTTGACACGATTTTGTAACTAAAATAAGTTATATTTAGTAGCAAATAGTTACAAAACATTGAATCTTGTCACGTGTTGAATTGAAGGTTAAGTATGATACCATTGAAGGAGGGCTTTCAACGAATAACGTTATTCGTTATATTGTATTGTACAATACAAATATTGGTATATGATAAGAAAAAGAATTTAAATTGCATCGAAATTAAAAAAATTTGTTTGGATTTTATTTACAAAATCAATAAAGTAATTGTCTTGCTAGTAATAATTTATTTATTTAGAATGATGTTTATCATAATGAATTGATAAATGTTCTAGGAGTAATGAAAAACATAAAAAAAATTATTGATCAAGTATTGAAAGAATATAGAGAAAGCTGAAATAACATTTGATTACACCAGAAAATAATGTTGAAATAAAATGTTTTCATTAAAATATGTGGTTTCCTGCTGGTGTTGAACTATTAATTGAACTTATTCCACTAGAATGTGAAGAAGTACCTGTAGATCGAGGTATTTTTCTTGAATTAGGAACTCTAAATATTCCGTCAGGTGTCGATTGATCGTTGTAATGGGTAACCCGGACAGTTGAAGTTGAAGTATTTGAGCTATCTGTTAAATAATTATCATCGCTTCTGAAAAAAACCCCGCTTATTATTCAAACATAGTATTTATTTAATGAGTTTGAAATTAAAATTTTTTTTTCTATTTGATAATAGTTATTTATCAATTTAAACTCACTGATAATCTATATGATAATTTCGATGAGATAGTTGTTGAAAATTTCTTGGATTAGCACGTTTTGCTTCTGAATTTTGTATGAACATTGTCGAATTAAAATAATTTCTTGGAACACTGGATGAAGGAATGTTTTGTAAAGAATAGTCTACTTTTCTACTATTAATTGCCCGTGTGTAATTAATTTTTAAATCTTCAAATTGCTTGTATAGTTTCATGTATGTTATTTTCAATCCATAATATTTTTTTTCCTGAATATGTATAATTAATATTAAATGTCCGATTGATACTGAATTTATAACTAAGTTTTTTCAATTATCTTAAATAAAAAAATTCAAAATAAAATATTACCATTGCTTCGAAACGTTTGTGTATTATCATCATTTGAGTATTTTGAAATTTACAAGCCAAAACCATCCGCTCACAAATATCGAGAGTTGGTTCAAATATGTGCTTCACTGCTTCTGGCAATGCATCTGTTAACTGTAACGCTTGTACGCCGGAGGTCTTACATTCGAGGCACTCAGTAGCGTTTATAACTAATGGATATATTTTTATATTCATTATTATCCATTGAAAACTAATGCTTATTGTCAAATATAACATATTAAGTTGAATTAGATACCTTTTTGTATACATTGATGACAAAATACATGACCACATTGAGTTAACGAAAAAGGAGTACATCCTGCTTTTATTGATTTCAAACTGATAAAACATTTATTACATCTAATCCACTCTAAAGCCATTGTTAATTATATTAGAAGCAATTGTTTATTTGTTATCACTCAATACGTACGACTTTTTATAATATACTAAAAACTATTTAGAATAGACGAATATTGCATCTCATTTTTATTTGATTAATTAATCTATTCTATTGGTTTATGTGATTGGTGATAAAATAACAATAGAATACAAATTAACCAATAGAATCATTCGTAGGATTTGCATTATAAATTTTTCAGCATTATTTTTCTCAGAATTATAGAAAAATCATCGAGATGTAGACGGTGAGGATTTTAAAGTGGACGCACTTTTGTGGATGACATAATATTACAAAGAGGGCGTTTTTGACGCTCACGTGCTATGTTTACGCGCAGTCTAAGGGTGTTCACACACCCACTAGATATGGCTGGGCTGAAGTCACGGAGGCGACTGATTCCCCCCTACCTAAATACATAGGATCGTAGTTTTCGAATTTTTTCGCCAATTTATATTTTTACTTGAAAATTTTGGTCCCAAATTAAAGCTTGTTTTATGATGCAGTGCGCTACACAGCAATTTCGATTATCCAACTGATTTTTTTAATAAAAAAATTAAAAATAACATTGAATAATTATGAATTGATTTGCAGCCCTTCTAATTCAAGATGGACGCTACAACGTAATAAAAAGAAATCGTGAATTATTTATTTCCTGTGTGATTTCAGCTCCTAAATGTTCTCTAGCACAATTCTTGCAACATTTATAAGTATAAAAAACATTATTTCAGGTGATAAAATTGGATAATTACGAAGAAATTAGGAACCTACGATTTGGAAGAGAAGAGAGACCAGTATAGAAGTCCAATGCTGTGTTAAAAATTCGGACGCAGTTTCGGTCAACACGTCGGTATTTTGGGTCAACATGTCGGTAATCTCAGGTCACAAAACATGAAAGTTTCTGTAAACCCATCGTGCGATGGCGCTGCAATGGTTATTTCAGCCACGCCCCTCAATCTAAGAGAGAAAAGAGATAAGATTTGTGTTCTCTTTTACTCTCATTACAAGAATCCTAAGCTAGTTTATTTTCAAGCACAAATTTTTAAAAAGAAAAGGTCCAGCACTGTTCGTAACATACATAGAAGCTATAAAACCAATTTGATATTCTTGTAACAGCTCAGAGGTAACACGCTCGACTACAGAAACGTAGGTTTTGTGGTCAAGCCTATCAATGTTATTTTTTCTTTTCTTTTTTTATTTAATTAATTGTAATAATGAATTTTTTTAGGACAAATTTTATACGCAATCATATGAAGGAGAGTAAAAAATGATGGACGACCGAAGCAATTTTTTTATAACAAATAACGATGTTTATAAGGAAAAAAAAAGAGAATTTAATTATGCATGATGATAATGAGTCAAAGGCTTCGATAATGATATTTATAATATTAATAATATATTTTTAAAAAAATAATATTTAATAATGTAACAAAATTTTTTTAAAGAATACACTTTTTAAAGAATATTGGGACTGCTCGAAAGGCCTGGAACTTGGTACCTAAAGAGAGTTTTTTAAAAAATTTTCTTGGGCAATAAAACCTTTATTTTCCCAGCAGCCTTAAGGTAGTTCTTTTGAAAAAATGTCCAATCAATTTCGTTTTCACGGTAAATTTGCAAAAAAAAAAAGTTATTGAAAATAAAATAAAAGCAGTAGTTGCTATGAACGCACGAAAGAGTGAATAACGAAAAACACAAGCACAATTGGACATTCCCACGATTTCGCCAACTTTGTACAAACGCTACGAGCGAGAAGTAGGACCGATCATTGAAGAAACAGCTGTAGAAAGCTGTAATAATGCAGCTGAAGCAGAAAGAAAACTGGCAGTATCTAAAATGGGAGAATTGTGTGAGGAATTGTGAGTCGATTATAATTACGGTTAAAAATAGAATTTTTATTATAATAACATAAAATGAAGTCTTTATTTTATTTATTATAATAGAATAACATTTTTTCTTTAAAAGAATAGTTTTTTTTTTTTTTAATTTAATGAAATTTTAATGTAAGATTATTAAAATCGAAATATCGAATATTTTTAATCAATTATCACTATTTTTGATATTATAATGATTTTTGGTAAATCAATCATGAAATTTAATCAATTTATCAGTATATTAAGATATGAGTTTTATTACATTATCTGATTAAATTATGTTACATATTGTACACAATTTATACAAATTTTTTTTAATAAGAAAACTCGAGATTATACATTGTTTTTTTTTTTGATCAATTATTTACTTCCTATCCTTTTTTTGTTTATTTTTTTTATAGACCTCAAGAACTAAGAAATGAAGTCTTTCCACAATTTCTTAATCTTAAGAGCAAATTGACACCTGGTACCTCAGATAATTGAGAAACTCTTTCTATCGAAAACCAACAAGATTTTGATAACCAAATGGATGGTGTGATAAATATTTTAGCATCTTATGACATGGGTTGGAGCAGACGCGGAAATGGTAGAAGCTATGACAGAAAAATTTTGAAAGAAAAAAATCTGAATGTTAAGGTCCTAATAGGTGATGATGATAGTTCAACGCCAGCTGCTATCAGAAAAGGAAATTCTAACATGGTATATAAACTCTCTGATTCCAATCATCTTCGTAAAAATCTCTCAAAGGATTAATATGCACTATAATCTAGCTTCATAGAAATGAGAAAAAAAGAGACAATTCCATATCTTAAGAAATGTTTTTCTTATGCAATACAGCAAAATAAAGGTCAGTCAGTGGCGCTAGCAGCTACTCTCCGTAGTATACCATATCACATATTTGGAGAACATGAGCAATGCGGATCCTGGTGTCATCGAACTAATCCATCCTGTTATTCTCAAGGACAAAAAGTCATTTTAAAAGATCAGAATCTATTTGAAAAATTAAAAATTATTTTCAACAAATATGCTGACAACTCTTCTATATTTTCGATGGCTGTTTCAAGCCAAGGTGATGAGAGTCTTAACAACATAATGGCTCATAAAGCACCTAAGAATTGCTGTAACAGCTTAAGTGAATCATATGATTATCAATTCGCCAGCTCGGTTGTTTCAAAAAACGATGGTGAAAAATATTTATTGGCTATTCAACAAAAACTTTCTTCAGATACAGGTAAAAATACAGCTTCTTATGTCAAGAGACAAGAAAATCGACGAAACAAAAAGGTGGCAAAAGCAAAACTGATAAAAATAAAACAACGTCGAAACGAACTGGCTGCAAAATGAGAAATGCTCCGAAAAAATAAAGAAAATTTTGAAGGTGTTCAGTATAGTTCAAATTGTGAAATGGAAGTAGATATTGATGAATTGATGGATACATTTGAAATTAAATCTATTATTGACAAGCTTCCAACAATTCAAACAACTGAAGATAACTGCAATATCATTTATTTCGATTTGGAAACATCAGGATTGGAGAAAACTGCAGATATATTACAAATTGCTGCTAAGTTTGAAAAAGAAATATTTGAAATTTACATAACCCCTACACAGCCAATAAATTCTAGTGTCTCAACAATTACAGGCTTAAAAAATATTGATGGACATTTATTTTATCGTGGCAAAAAGTTCATTTTTATTCCATAAAAGAAGCATTACTCCAGTTTCAGTTGTTTATCAATAAGTCTCCTAAGCCATGTGTGCTTGTTGCTCATAATGCTAAGTTCGATACTGCACTTTTACTCACAGCTATTATTAAGAATTCAATGATTGAAAGGTTCTTTAACATCGCTGGCTTGTCGGACAGTGTAACTTTGTTAAAAAGAATTTTCTCGAAACGTAAAGGTCCAGGATTGTTTAAACTACAAAAACTGGCAAAAGATTTGTTGCCAAGTTGCTGTAATGAAAAATTTCATGAGGCCTCATATGACGTACATATTCTAGAAAAATTAGTATGTTCATTTATTCCAAAATCAGATCTTGTTAAAAATTGCAAACCCTACAAAGATTCTATTATATGGATATTAATGTTGCCATACTTGAAATCGTTTCAAGAAATTGTGTCATGTCCAATATTAAAAAAAATTGCAATGGCTGGACTCACCTTTGGAGAATTACAGAAGTTACTTGTGAACTATGGGGAAGAAAGCATTATCAGAGTATTATCTGAAAAAAATGTGCAAAAGAAACCAATGATTACTAAAGATGAAAGAAAGAGTTTTAACTACAATAATTCGTTTTTTGAGAAGTTAATTATAATAGTATCTAAATTTTGTTATTGAAAGTATTTTTATTGTACCAACGAAAATTTTTTTTACTAGTAATAAATGAAACATATTATATATATTCGTATATTTTAATTTTTCACGCTTGAACTTCGCGCCGAATGACTAATTCATAGCAGATACAACGTTGCCAAGTCATAAACACGTGAATGTCCCTTATTGGAAATAGTGAAAAATTTGTGATTAAAAAATTTTTAACTCCGTATTGACACGACAGAATGAGTCATTCTTTAGTTTAATATACGTGCCATAATTGTATGTCCACCCTGTAATTTTTTAAAATAAATCCATAGAACCGTTTTTAAGGCTGGGCTGAAGTCAGAAAGTTTCCTAAAGTTGACTTTACGCCCTCGCGTTGTGCGACGAAGGGCCGAAGCTCGATATCAATTGAAATTAAGTAGGTAACAGGGAAATCGTTCGAAAAATGATAATTTTCAGGGATGCACTACAAAAAGGGAGCCTTAGGGCGACAAGAAATTTACAAATTCTCTAATAATTTGTTCCAAGCAAGACAGAGCATAAAGTATATACATCCATCTCCGTCTTATTCATCAGAGAGAAGACTGCGAGTTCTGGCACTTCGCTGGCAAGCTCTATCCCCTCCCTTCGTACCCAAGCGAGTAGCTTATAACTTATAAATCTAAATACTCGAAGAGTTAATGCATTAGCTCTGCAGACAGAGCACTAGATTTTTAATCTGCCGAGCCGGATTCAAACCCAGTCATAGCCAATTTTTTTTTCTCTGTTAAAATTGCAATTTTAGGATACCAAAATTAATTTTAAACATCAATTTCAATTTTTTTCATAATTATTTTTCCCATCAATGACGGAAAAATAATTTATAATCAAACAGTATAA